CAAGAGAAGTGTGGGAGTGTGCCAACACTCATGCTGCACTTACTTTTCTGTTGGGGTCACAGGCAGTGGTGGTGCTGCAAGCGTTTGTTATGACGAAGCGCGAAAATGCTGTGTGAGTGCTAGCATGGAGTTAGGAGAAGGAGGAAGCGTAGAGGTGCAGTTGAAGTGCAGCTGCAAAGGACATGACAAGAGAAGTGTGGGACTGTTGCAACACTCATCCTGCACTTCCTTTTCTGTTTGGGTCACAGGCTGTGGTGTCGGAGCAAGCGTTTGTTCTGATGTGGCCCCGGATTCTCCATACGCATGGGTTCCCATGGCCCGACACCCTATGGCCCGTCTCAGACCTCCATGCGGCCTCCCTGGACCCCCATGCGCACAGGGGTACGCAGAGGACTGAGGAGGCCGCACGAGAGCCTGGAGGGCCCGAAACCTGGCCCCGATCCCGTGATGTTTCCTCCTACGACAGGGGCTCTCAGCCCTTCATTGTCTCTGTCCCTCTGCCCTGGTCCCTCTCCAAATCCCCACATGCCCCTTGTCCTGGGGAGCCCGGAGCTGCCCCCAATGCTCCAGCTGCATTGGGGCCTCCCCAGAACAGAGCAGAGCGACAGGATCAAGATCTCTCCTTGCCCTGCTGACAACGTCCTCCCGATCCAGCCAGGAGCCCATTTGGCCTCCTTGGCCACCAGGGCACAGTCAAAACCTGCTTGGAATCCACCCTGTGCCACGTGCTTGAGGTGACCCTGTGTGTGCAGGAAGGCTGGACTAGGTGATCTCCAATGGTCCCTCCCAACCATAAGGATTCTGTGATTGCTGACTCATGGTTGACTTGGTGTCCCCAGGACTTCCAGGTCCCTCTCCGTGGAGCTGCTCTCCAGCAGGTCAATCCCTAACCTGTGCTGGTGCCTTGGGTTATTCCTGTCCAGGTGCAGGACTCTGCACTTGTTCCTGTTGAACCTCATGAGGTTCCTCTCTGCCCAACTCTCCAGCTTCTCCAGGTCCCTCTGGATGGTGTCGGCCACTCCACCCAGCTTGGTGTCGTCTGCAAACTTGCTCCGGGTGCACTCCGTGCCCTCGTCCACGTCATTGATGAACAAGTTGAACAGTATCGGGCCCAGTACTGACCCTGGGGGATACCACTGGCCACAGGTCCCCAACTGGACTTGGCCCCATTTGTCACCACTCCATTATCAACTCTGTGAGCTCTGCCATCCAGCCAGTCCTCAATCCACCCCAACCTGCCCCAATGCACCTCAATGCACCTCAATCCACCCCAATCCAAATTAATCCGCCCCAATTCACCCCAACCCACCCATCCAGCCCCTGCTTCCCACACGGATGCCGTGGGAGGTGCTGTCCAAGGCCTTTTGCTGGAGTCAACGGAGGCAACGTCGGCAGCTCCTCCGTCGCCCATGCACCCCCCGTCCTACCCAAGTAATCCCGGTCAAACTCGTTGTCCTTGGGGACCCCCCGAGGATCTGGCCCCCTCACTCCTCGCCCTTGTCCGGCCTGGAGACCCTGCAGGATGAGGAGGCCCCGTCCCTGTCCCGGGGAGGCTGCCCGGCCTCAGCTCCCCATCCTGCCCTCAGTGATGGCGGCAGTGATGCTGCTTCCCTCCGGCCTCTGGGATTCCCAAAGGAGGCGTCACCTCAGTGTCCTCATGGGGGAGGCCCCACCCCTGGACCCTGCAGAAGGCGACACCTGAGGGAAGTGTCACCCTTGGTGTCCCCACATGGACGGTGTCACCCCACTTTCCCACGTGAGTCCTTGCCCTTGCTGGCGGCTGGGCCGGAGCCCTCCCTTTTCTCAGGAAATCCCAGGTTTCCTTCAAGGGAGGCTGCAGTTTTCCCTATTAAACACTTTTTTCTCCCTCAAAACTACCTTGTTTTTCCTCAAGTCCCCCCATTTTCCTCAAAACCACCCACTTTTTCCCCCAAAACCAGCTGCTGACCCCCCTCAAACCACTCCTCAAAATCCCCTTTTTTGACCCCCTTCAAAATCACTTTTTCCCCCTTCAAACCACCTGCTTTTCCGCAAACCCACCCAGCAGCTGGCCAGTCCTTCCAGGGAAGCACCCCCACACACACCAAATCCCTGTCTTTTCCCCAAAAAATGGACTCCAAACTGACCAGGAGCTCCCAGGGCTCCCAGGGCCGCTGCTCCTGGCAGAGCTTTATTGGGATTATGGAAATATGTAAAAAAAAAACTGCACTGGGAATGTCCTGGATCCATCGGGATATCCCAGGATCGGGATCCTGGATCACCTGGGCATGCGGATACGGGATCACCCAGGAAGAGGAGACCCCTGGGATCATCCTGGGATTGGGATAACCCAGAATGGGGATACCCGGCACTGGGATCCAGGATCACCCCAGGATCGGGATAACCCAGAATGGGGATTCCCAGTGTTGGGATCCGGGATAACCCCAGGATCGGGATAACCTGGAATAGGGCAGGGGAGCACTGAGGAGCAGGAACGAAAAATGGGAAGGGGATGAGGAGGAAGATGTGAGAGACAACGATGAAGAGAAAGGGGACGACGAGCATGGGGATGACAACGACAATGACGATGAATAGAGCAGGGATAATGAAGATGATGATGAAGAGCAAGAGGACAATGAGGACAATGATGAGGATGAAGAGGTCAGGGCTGGGCCGGAGCCGTGCAAGGCGGAAGGCCCTACGTGCTCTGCTTCTGGCGCTTCCAGAAGCGCTTGACGTCCGGGTGTCCTGCGGGCGTCACCACCAGCAGCCGCTTGGCTGGGTGCTCGAAGACGAGGACGCCGAGCGCCCGTGCGTGGCCCCGCAGCACCTCGAAGTCGCCTTGCGACAGGAACTGGTTGTAGAGGACGCCTGGGGACAGGGGGACAGCGGCGTCACCTTGGGTAGCGCAACATTGCGGTGGCACCGCCCGTGTGAGGACAACGGGGACAGCAGGGACAGCAGAGTCACCTTGAGCACTGTGACACTGCGGGGGCATTGTCCGTGTGGGGACAGTGGGGTGACACCTCCCCACTGGGGACACCAGGGTGACACCCCCCACATGGGGACACCAAGGGTGGCACCTGCTTCAGGTGTCTTCTCCCCATGGCGACACCTTCCTCGGTGGTGTCACCTCCTTATTGGGAACCATGGGGTGTCACCGCCCTACGGGAACATTCCCCCCCTCCCCAGAGTGTCACTTCTCCCTGAGGGGGGAGGGTTGTCACCTCCCTCCCACTTTGAGCCTCCTGCAATGTCACTTCCCACCCCGGAAATGTCACAGGATGACAGGTAGATAACCCAGGGTGACGTGGGTGATGTGGTGGTGACACGGGTGACAGGGGCCCCCTCACCCTCGGAGAAGCGCAGCCGGTCCCGCTCCAGCTCCCACAGCCGGATCTGGTCCGTGATGGTCGGAGGCAGAACTGGGTTCTGGGAACAGTGGGAGCACCATGGGCCCAGGCGTCCGGGTGCCCCCCAGGAGCCCAGACATTCGGTGATGTCCCCCGGGGGCCCAGGTGTCCGGGCACTCACCTGCTTGGCCATGACGGGGTGAGCCCGGGTGCGCAGGAAATGGATGATCTGGGGGGAGATGGGAGCGTTGGGGGGATGGGGATCCTGGGGACACCCTGAGGATGCCCTCACTCCTTGGGGACACCCCAACACCCCAACAGACACCTGGGGACCCCCTGGAGACACCCACAGGGACACCCTGGGGACACTCCTGAGAACAACCAGAAACTGCGGGAAGCCCCTTGGGGACATCCCTGGGGACACCCTTGGGACCTTCGTGGGGACTCGGACACGCTGGGGAACATCCCTGGGGACACCCAGCTCCCCTTGGGGACACCCTGACACCCTGGGGACACCCAGACCTACCGGGGACACCCCAGGGACACCCTGACACCTCAGGGGACACCCTTAGGGACACCCAGCTCCCCTGGGGACACCTTTGGGGATACCCAGCTCCCCTTGGGGACACCCTGACACCTCAGGGGACACCCAGCTCCCCCAGAGACACCCTGGGGACACGCTGACGCTCCATGGGACACCTTGGCTCCCCGGGGACGCCCGGGGACGCAGTGGCTCTGGTGCCGTCACCTGGTCGGCGCTGATGCCATTGGCGATGGCGGCCTGGACGCTGTCCCTTGTCACCTGGGCCACCACCAGGTTGGGGAAGCGGTAGAGCAGCTCCGAGAAGAGCGCGATGAGGGCGACCTGCAGCTCCGAGTCTGGGGGACAATGCGGGGACAGTGGGGACACGGTGGGGACAGGGACAGTGTGAGGATGGAAACAGCATGGGGCACAGCATGGGGACAGTGGGGACAGTGTGAGGACAACGTGGGGACAGGGACAGCATGGGGACAATGTGAGACAGCATGAGGACAGGGACAGTGTGAGGACAAGGATAGGGGAAATACAGCACAAGGACGGTGAGGGCACAAGGACAGTGTATGGGGATGGGGCCAGTGGGGCCAGTGTGGGGGCAGCACCAGCACAGGGACAGCGCGGGGACAGGGTGGGCATGGGAACAGTATGGGGACAATGTGGGGACGGGGACAGTGTGTGGGGATGAGGACAGCACGGAGACAGTGTGTGCAAACRGGGATGCTGTGGGGACAGTGACACCACAGGAATGGTGACGCTGTATGAGGATGGGGACATTGATGGGATAGTGACACCACGGAGGAACAAGCACTCTCTGTGGGGACAACATCATCATGCACGGGACAGTGTCACCGTGAGGACAGTGACACCCTGGGGACAGTGACACCACAGAGAGTCAGGGACCTCGCGTGGAGATATGACACCCTGGGGACAGCGTCACCCTGGGACACACCAGGACACTGGGGGAACACGAGGGATCSGATGGACAAGGGACTCAAGGGGACACAGACAGGGAACATGAAGGGCTTGGGGACAAGAGACAAAGGACACAAAGACACGATGGACGAGTTGGGGATACGGGACAGGGACAAGGAAGTCAGGGGCCAGGATGGAGTGGCTGAGGTGACGCTGGGGACACTTGGGGACACTTGGGGACACGTGGAGGCACCAGGGGACACCCAGGGACACTTGGGGACAAGTGAGGACACTTGG